GTATAAAATGGAAAATAGCTGTAAATAAAAAGAAAACTAAAATTGTAGTGTTCCGGAAAGGTGGCACTAACTCAACTAAAGAAAGATGGTTTATGAATGATGAACCAATTGAAATTGTAAATTCCTACAAATATTTTGGGTTATTGCTGTCATGCAGAAACAGCTGGTCTAAGGCTGTTGCAAATTTGGCCGCACAAGCACGCAAAACAATGTTTTGAGTATAAAGTTGGTATCCTTAATTATGATGTTTATTTCAGACTATTCGATGCTTTAATTTTACCAGTTCTTTTGTACTAGAAATTCTAGTATGTCGGACCTTTCATGCCGGAGTAGGCAGCGGGGAAAATTAATCATGAATCATGAAGGTCATATTTTCGCATTAGTGTTTTTGACTGAACTCTGTCTCAATATGGAAGAACTCCATTTCCTATTAATTGTTTGCGCTCACTGCAACAACAGAAGGGATTCAAATATCAACATAACGAGTGGTGGCGAATAAACATTGCATTGTCTTGAGTTAATCTTTGAAGCTTATAGGCATACAGATTAAACCTGTGTTGTTGATTTTGGCAAACACTACTTAGGCTACCTTGCTTTCCTTCAGAAAATCAACATTTGAATCTACTTACATGACATTCTATGTTATGTTGACTTTATCATATGAAAGTTTATAGTGCATTTCATCAATTAATAAATAAATGTGAAAATCGTAATTTTCAACACAAATAATAGTCTCGCTACCTTAAACGTTTTCTACTTTACAACTATAAACTATCAACCATCTTCGCCAGCCATGTTTACTCCACCACTGCCTAAATACTTTCTGTTCAGCCAGTTTTAAATTGCGCCTTTTTTTGACAAGTTGATATCCGTTGATATTTTATATTTTTCCGAAATGCAAATACGTGACGAGTTCGCGAAGGAGCATGTTTACATCGAGATCGCGAACTCGTGCGATTCGGACGGTGCTCCCAATACCAAGCATGGTGGGTGTTTTTATTTGGGATATGAATTCAAATTAAATCGCAATATTATAGCCAAGTATCTGTAAAATACACTGGGTAAATAATTAATGCAAATTTTAGTTTTACACTTAGTCAGAAAAGTTCATAGGGGCTTTTGAAAACAAGACACAGGGCTATTTTGATGTTGCATAATGCAGGTCAGTCAGCAACCATAACTTTCGTAATATCGCCATCGGCGTCACGAAACAAAGAAGAAATAAAGAAACACATCTCAACTATAGAGGGCCTCACTCACAATACAAGACCATATTATAAAACAATGATTTGATGTGTATATATAGTTTCAATATTGTAAATATAGTATAGTTGCAATATAAATAAAGTCAACTGTTTAGTTATAGCGCCTTCAATCATTTGGGGGGAGTCATCTTTATTTGGAATTTTTTAAGACATAACTCAAACGGAAACTGCTCAGCTAACATGGCCAGAATAAGTATTTGTTAAAAACTGTAAGGAAATTAAACGTGCACAATACAAGATACGTCTATCGGCAGTATACAGTAATTGATACGGCAATTAGTGATAAACAGGAACTTTAGCATCAGGACATTTTTTTCAATTCCACGGATTAAAATCAAAATCTGAACCTGATATTATGCATGTATCAGACAATTACGATATACGATTGCCAGAGCACTTTTAATTTTAATTTAAAGGGCGGTAGTCGTCGCGCTGCGCATGTGCGAGATATATGGGTCTCATATAAACAAAGATGGCGACTTTGACTGTTGCGCAGATCAACGAGTACGAAATGAGACGTTTCCAAGCTTTAATTAAGCAATTTTCATGTTATTGTAAGGTATCGAAGGAGTCAACGGCGGTAATCAGTGCAAGTGGCGCCCAGGTCAAACCT